ATATTAATAATACAGAATTACTTATTTTTTTAAAGGCAACTTCCTGTATAAAATGTGACTATTTTTTACTAACATTAAACTAAAATCTTTAACAAAGTAATTATCAAAAACATAAACCTTACTTATAGGTTAATATTAACAAGATCACGTCATAAATTCCTTGAAAACTAGTTTCTTTCTACGAACACCAAATTCTTCTCATAAAGCTAATATTTTTTATTATCTATTTAGTTTAATTACAGTCCGGAATGACATATTTTCATGATTTATATAATTCAAAGTAGCTTACATTATTTATTTTAAAATTTTTAACACATTACAAAAATGACGATTGATTTATAATTCAAACTGCCGCTTTTTTTTTCCCTTCTCTACATATGGGACATATGGAACACTAGCGCCCTCTTATTTTTGTAAGATTTTTGTTTACATGTAGTTCGGGCTCCTTGTATAGTGTCCATGCTACAAACTATGGAGGCCCTTTAAAAAAAACGAGATAAAATTTCAAAACCTAAACTCGTTTTGCTTTGATTCTAAATAATTAAAAAAATCGCAATCAACGACTTAATAAGGTCACGCGCCCAGCGACTTCTAAACACTTTTTGGTTTGATTCTCAAAAAAAAAGGTCAAAATTTCAAAATCTACACTGGTTTGATTTTACCAGATCTTGGCGCCGAGGCCCCCCGATCTCGTGTAACCCCCGTAGCTCTCCCCATAAAACCGGGCCTGAGAATTCAGTTTTATTACTGTTTTACCTATTACATACAAATTTTATTTTTTTAACTAGATACCTGTATCCTATTGAGAATGTACTAGGAATATCATTTGAAGAATATTCCTGAGATCCTGAGATATTATTATTAGTATATTTATGGAGAATATTATACTTACATTTATACACAGAATTTCTATTATTTTGTAAGTCAAAAAGTTAGACGGCTGTCTAAGTTAAAAACCAAATTTCTTTTTCAGAAGGGGATGCATTCAAGGATTAAAAAGTTACACTTTGTTAAATTTTCAAGCTTTCGAAACTATATTTTGTTTCTTCATCAGGAAAAAACTACAATAGAATAAGTACTAGTTAGAATTTTCTTATAAATTAGTCGATTAAAAATTACTTACTATGTGAGAATTACATTGTTAGCCAACATGATAGGTACACCTACCGCGGACATAGGTCGTTATTACAAATAATTAAAAACATCACAGGTTGGAAACGGAAAATTGTACAAATATAAAAATTTTTAAAATTCATAACTACGGCAGACTAGAGCCGAATTCAAACAAAATGAACAAATTCGTCGGTCTTCTAGGTACGAATATCAGATAAGGAGGAAAAAAGTGAAAAAATATTAAAGTTCTCCGCATAAGTATTAAGGAAACAAAAATGTGAGTAAGAAATTAATGTAGAAAACTTGCGAAAGAATCGTTTGTTAGATGTATACCTGTCTTTCATATATGTATACCTACAAATTTTAATTTACAGGATGTTACTATTAAGGGAACCAACTTGTACAAAATTGTTTTTTTTTTAATATGTAACAGATATGTATAAATAATATTCAGACCTTCAATGTCTTTTTCTGAATTCATACTTGGTTCGTGTTTCATAATCCGAGTCATTTCTAGAAAATTCCTTCTTTGTACATCCAATACCGAGAGTTCATCATATACAATATCATGACTACATTGTACAGCATGTTTAGCTAAGGTCCAAGACATTTTTTGATTTCTAATGTCACTTTTATCCTTAAGACATCTACCTGTTTGACCTATATAAACCTTTTGACAGTCTTTACATGCAATGCAGTAAACTATTTCTGACATATTCAATATGTTGTCCTTATCCTTTAATTTTGAAAACAAACTCCCCACCATTAACTGATTCCTAAATGCCAACTTTATATTGTTATATGGAGAAAAAATCCTAGTTAATTAGTCAAAAAATCAATGTAAGGTAACGAGTAATATTTGTAATTATTATTATTGGAACGATTTGTTTCATTGTTACCTGCGTTAACGAGCTCACTCCTATGAAAAAGCAGTTTATTAACAATTTTTACCGGTAACCACTATCTACAAACAAATTAAAAATTCTTAAAATTTTTAAAACGCTCTCAATGAATTGCTGGAGATATAAGAATAGCAGTAGTAACAGATGAACAGAATGCTGCTTCTAATCTAGTTCGTTTTCCGCAAGATACAACCTCAAATCTCAATAGAATCCAAACTCTAAGAGTTGGGATCTATCTCATATTACAGGAGAAATTCATTACCATATTATATTACAGAAGGATTATTATTACAGGATATTATTATTACATATTCAGGAGAAATTCATAAGCCATCCATAATGGCAACTTCTGTGGTTCAGATCGAAGCCGATCTACCAAACTTCTTGAGGATCAAGGATTATATAACATCGGAAGACACAGAAAATGTGGCCCCTAATGGTCAGGAAATTTTAGCTATCAATATATCTCATGATATTTTAGATCATTGGGAATGATCTCCAAAAATCCAAACAAAATTTCGGCTGATTTACACATGAAAAATATCCTTTTTAATGGTTTACAAACATAATCACAGCTGTGCTTTTTGAATGAATAAATGTCACATATTTGGAAAAAAAAGGACTGACTTTTTATATCTTGAAAACTAAGCAATATTACATATAGTCAAGTGATATTGAAATTTCACCTCTACCCCTCTAAACAGGGGGTATATTTCTATTAAAAAAAAATACTAGAAAGCACCAACGGGAGTTGTATAACTAAAATTTGTTAATGTTACATTTGAGTGACAGCCTCTGAAAATATAACATAATTTTTAGAATTTAATTATCTTCAGCTATTAAAAAAAAATGCATTTCCCAAGATAAATCAATCACCTGTACATTCCCCAATATCATTTACTCTTAATAAGAAAAAAAGTTTATATGAACATAATGCAGTGTTGTTTTTAAAATACACAGTGGCATTGTTTTAATTATTGTCATTTTTAACATTTTTTTTAAGATAATCTATTCAAATTTGGTACAATAAACCTTTTTTTCAAGGTTAATGAAATCTATGAATTACCATTCAAAATAATTTACAGGATGATACTTGCTTTGAGATCATGATATGCTTCAACTTCTAATTTTCTATTGTGACGATACTTCTTTTGAAAAGAAGATAACCACTGCTTTTTATCCCTTAAATTATTGACCGTGACTTTTTTGTTTTGACGTTATTCATCAAAATATGACTATGGTGGCATATTTATTACTAATTCCTCAGCTTTAAATAAAACTCCATCTAAAAATTCTTGAGAGTTGAAGGATCCAAAAAGACCAAATAAAAGACAAGACAATTATGTCACATTAGTTCTAAAATTTCCCATGTAATTAGGAAGTGTTAGTTTATAATTTATTTTGTTTTTGTGACAATTAACTGATATTTACAAAAAAAATTACTTTTGGTTATTTTTTGTATAATAAATGCTGTTTCATTGCATAACATGCAGACAAAAGAAATTCGGTTCTTTTGAATGTTTTATGGTAGGTCTATATAAAATAAATGTTTCTGTGATTGTTAATGTAAATTAGTGCTATTGGAACTTTATTGAAATAAAATTGTCCATCCATAATATTTACCATATACTAACTGATACTGACACTTCCAGGTAAGGATAAATACATCACACTCGAAGGCCATTCATGTTTCAAGTATTTTTGATAGACTTGTAATATATTACAAAAACAATGACATTATGGTCGATTATGGTCTGCATACATTTGCAATGAATAAATTAATAAAAATAATATATTTCCTTTAAAAATTTAATAATAAAATAAAAACAAGACTTATAGAACATATATACTCTAACTCTTTGTACAGATATGCAGTGAATAAGTATACTATTAACTAAAAATGGAATTGTTTGGTAACTTAAAAAATGGAATGCTACAAATACATTCAAAAATGTAAATTTATGTAGATGTAACTCCTTTTCTAGCAACTAGTAAATTTAACACAGGATGTTTCTTTATGTAGCTGACTGCCTTTTTATGGGTTACCATTGTGAAGTCATATCCATTACACTGCAAAATCTTGTCATGCACTCGCAAACCTGCCCTTGATGCCGGACTAGATTCATGTACTTCCGTCACATATATGCCCTGTAAAATATTGAATATAATGGAGTGTTTGCATAAAAAAATGTGTAGCGTTTTATAACCGAATATTATTCACTTCTTATTTAAGGTGGCCATATCCCTGGCCGAGAAATAGTCAAATTACTGTCGTTTCTAGGTACTGAAATCTTGAAAAGTAAAACGTGTAGAACAAAAGTAAACACAAAATAAAAACCTTGATGTTCTGTTTATTCATTGTTATTATTTAAATTTACTCAAAATAATAACTAAAAAAAAGCGTTTGTAAAACATGTGTTTGCTGTTATCCTAACTCCACATTTTAAGCATTATCTTCACATACTTATAAATAAAAGTAAACAATTTCATATGTAGGACTAAGCAAGTACATGTTATAAGAATATTTACATGTGAAGTTGTATATAAAAAAGTTAGTATTTTCGTAGATTTCAGTACCTAAAACCTTGATGTTTTCGGAAGAATGGATCGTTTTTTTGCACCTGTTTATTAGTTTTACTGCGGCGGAGTGCGGCGTCTTTTAAATACCCAGATGGCATGACATAACATTCCTATTATTTGATAAGCTTTAGATTATTCAGTTATTAAATGTTTGAAATTATTTGTCTTTGTGGAAAACACTATTTAAAGAATATGGCGCCCTTAAGTATCTCCTCTGTCTCTCTATTAGCAAATAAAAGGAGGACAGTAGGGGGTCATTTGAAGGTCAACTTGGATTTTTAGATATGATAGATGTATTTTTGCCACCGGAAATGAATAGAGCGGGAGATACGTCTTTATGTTACGGGTCAAAAAGGTAATTTTAGTGTCAAATAAGGTTCTGAATAAGATTGTGTGATATTTTTCGGGAAAGCACTTACGACGACGGATTCTCGTTGAGTTTTATGGTTTGATGGGGATGATGACCTTGACCATGACCTAGAAATCAAGATTGAAGGTTCTTTGAAGGTCAAATCATGTTAAAAAAATAGGAGGACCCTGTTTGCATCCCCATTAAGTTAAGATAAGATCGTTAGGGTACAGTCAGTAAAGGCAAGATCGCTTGAACCGAATGGCCGGGTCAAAGTGACCCTGTTTTAACTGGATAAATTTTAGCGAACTTGCCTTGACAGGCTGGGCCATAAGGATCTTGCCTTAACATAATGGTGCTGCAAACAGGGTGCTCCTATTTCGTACTTTGATTCGACCTTCAAATAACCTTCAAGCTTGACCTCTAGGTCATGGTCAAGGTCATCATCATATGATCCCATCAAACCATACAACTTTCAACCAGAATCTTTCGTCATAAGTGCTTCCCGAAAAATATAGCACAATCTTATTCAGATCCTTATTTTACCCTAAAATAACCCTTTAGGGTCACTTTGACCCATAACATAAAGACATATCTGAATATAAAATTTTTTACTCTATCCATTTCCGGAGTCAGAAATACACCTATCATACATAAAAATCCAAGTTGACCTTTAAATAACTTCTATGGTTGGCCTTTGTATCAAGGTCAAAGTCACCAGAACCCTACAACTTTTGTCTAAAAGGTTTTTCCTGATAGTGCTTGCAATGCGTTATTTAAAATGGGACACCGTGTATATATTATATTAGGGTGCTTCGTTTAATATTTACATTTCTTTTTTTTTTGACGAAATATTGTTCTAAATATTGGAAAAAAAAATGTCACCAAATTTTTTATCTCAATTTTAATTTTTAGTACTCACTATTTGATTTTAAAATTTTCCTATTCATTTAACACGTAAACTTGTTTTTTTTTTAGTTCTCAGCTGCATTTAATGTTATTTTATTGTCCATAGGCAATAATTATGGGGAATCTTTGTTCTCTGAAAGTGCTCATAGTAGGATTTACGAGACTTGAACGGTTTCACTGCTAAAAAATGTTTTTTTTTTTTAATTTTTATCTATTTTTACATTTTTCTCATATATGACTAGAGTTAGAGCAAAGACGTAAATGACATTTTTATAGCAAATTAAATTTGCTATAAAAAAGGTCCTTATTATCTAAGCTGTAAAGTTATTAGTTCACGAGATAAATAGAATTAAATGTGTGAAAACTTAAAATATCTTTGTATTATCAATTTTTGTGCACTAACACATGCAATAAGTAAACCTTTCTTTTATACTACGTGATATTATATAAAATACATAAATTTTTCCAGATATAGAATTTAAATAAATTATTTCTTGGAAGTTTGTACCCTGAAAAATTAGGGAGTTTTATCGGGTACGTCTACAGTCAAATGAGAGTTTCTGTAGATTCGCTTGTGACTAAAGTAGTAAACCTTTAGATTTGGCAACATTGCACTTGGCTGGCGCGCTCGGCTCGGCGTTCGCTCGCTCGCGTTCGATCATTCTGTTTGTTTGGATGCCTAAGCTTGAAATATACATCATATGTCACACCTGTCAAGTACTATGCTACGTCGAGAAGCGTGTTGCCACTATCGTTAGTCAACAACAGCAGTTTGAAGGAGAATTATTATAAATTATGTATTTTACAAGTACCTAATCGATTTCTACGAGCTGTCATACGGTTCCTTAGATATCGGTTTCCTATTTATACAAGTTGCTGTGGAAACTGTTTATCAATTGTTGCACATTCTAAGTGGAAAGACCAAAAAATCTGCATTCTCATAAGACTTCGTACTAAATCGTGAAAAATTATTTTATTAATATCTCATCTCTTAGGTATCCAAACTAGTCATAATTTTTTCTGAGGATTTGCTTCATATTAATAAGCTTATATTAATTTTTTTATGAATATTTGTTTGGCAATTCCATATCAGATGAACCTCCTTAAGTTACAAACTTCATTTTACAAATAAGAGATCTAAAATATACTTAATGATAGTAACAGGCAAAGTATTAATAATACATATATTAAATACAAATATCAAAAAATATTAATAATTTTCATATATAAAAAAATTTGCACCAAATGTTAAAAAAGTTAAAAAAAATATGACAATTGCTAATAAAACAATAAACAATTTGGGAAATTCGTCCTCAAAGGTTAAAGACTGAAGATAAATCAAATGTAATGTATAAAATTAATTGTATATACATATTGTAGTAAGTAATACATATGCCAAACATCTAGAAATATTAAATATCGTATTTCTTCACATAAAAGTGATATTTGACTAAGGCCGGACACTTATGCACTTTCATGCAAATTCTACAGGTCATAAAACGGATGCTTTTAGAAATGCATTTCATAAACCAAGAGAAAGCACTTTAAATAAAAAAATGGTACAAAAGATATCTGGTCTTAAATGATCCAAAGAACCTCCTGAAGTTATCACATGGATTTGAAAAACACTATAGTATTAAGAGGGTAAGTGTCAAATTTTAATCTAGAAAATATTGAAGAAGAATTTATATGAATCAAAATATAAACAAAGAACTCTTGTAACAATATCAACTGTTAAACGATTAAAAACATTATTCCCTAAAGTAACCTCTTATATTTTCATTGCAACTGAGCGTAACTTATTTTGGCACTTATTACATTCGATAAGAGCAATAAAAATGAAAAAAAAAATTATAAAAAAAATTGCCATATGTATACAGAGTGATTCACTTTTTATAATTAGGACTTTAACCATCTATAGATCTCGTCAAAATAATGTCATTTTGAAGTATACAGTTTTTCTTCCAAAGGCTTCCTTTTAGAGACATAAGCTCTTGAAAAACATTTTTTTTTGGTTTTTATTTATTTTTTCTTAAACTATGAAAGCCATTTCTTTTTATATTTAGTATGAAGTGTACGAATAAAAATCTCTATCAATTTTACAAATTATTGTGAAAATAGATCAATCATAGGCGTCCGTAAGGAGCTCTGATAACCCCTATTTTTAATATAATTTGTATCCACTACATATTTTTTATCATTGCGGCTTATTCTACAGCAAAAAGGTCTCTTACTATTTTTAAATGAAATGCTTGGTTTTTGAGAAAAATGGAATCATTACATGTGAAATGGTTAAGTTTTTCAAACAAAGAAATTTAAATACTGTACTTGACGACTTACGATTACTTCCAGCATCGAACTACTTCGGAAGATTCTTATTCAATGTATAAACTACACGTATCATAAATATCAAAAATTACAAAAATCCGATCACCTTGCCTTCTCCTTGTTAATTAGGTTGAGGGTTGCTTTCGCTGTACAGCAAGAAATAAACGCTCTCTCAACGGTAATAATAAAGAATTTTATTGAAAACTGGTGTACAGAAAACTTGTGTATGGAAAGACGTGTTAACAGGGTGAGTGTTCGTTGGAGAGTCCGTCGTTTAAGTCGGTCGTTCATGGGTACGCGTCTGGTGACCGGCGCCAGCAGCCCTTCTTGGAACGCTGGTTCGTCCGGCGGCGTCCTGCGGCGCTCTTGACGTTGTGCTTTCTAATATGGGTCACTTGCAAACATGTGTACCCACACACCCCCCTGCCAGTATGGATGCCATCACGGAATTTGCAGCCGGTCAGGGAAACGGACCCTTCTGCCGGACCTAGTGGTAATTGCCTTGGGTGTGGTTGGCACGGATAATGGGGCAGAAGTTGATGGAAGGCTATTGTTCTCGTTCCTGGTATCTGTCGCATCATTCAAACAATACGCCGGTTTGACTCTGTCTATGGACACTTTAACTTCACGACCACGTACTAGCACCGTGAATGTTTTGTCGTCGCGTTTAATCACTGTAAACGGACCATCATATGGGTTCTGTAGTTGTGTTTTAACGCCGTCCGCACGCACAAACACATGTGTCGCTGTTGCCAAGTCTTTAAAAACGAATGGCGTCTTGTCGCCATGGCGTTTAACTGCGGCTGGACGTAAGCTTTCCATATGATGTCTGAGGTCCTTAACAAAATTCGCTTCGGTGCTGAGCTCGTCGTTTGTCCTGCGGGAATGAAGAAATTCTCCGGGTAGGCGTAGATGTTGTCCGTACACCATCTCGGCCGCGGTAGCTTGAATGTCTTCTTTCCATGCTGCACGTATTCCCAAT